CCACAGACACCAGAATCGTTATCTCATAAAACAAGAGTTAGGAGAGAACGAGATTCACTTAATTTTGGTTATTTTTACGTTCGTTGTGGAAAAACTGATAGAAGTCGTTCCTTCAAAATATTTTTACTAAGCTCCTCCGCTTTTTCCCATCTTTTACCGTGAATTAGTGACCCCGCTGCGAAGGCAGTTCTAGTTTCAGCGTGAAATTTCACAGGCCAGTTTGGCACACAAATAAGCTTTTGAATTTGCCTGCTAGCTAGGTTGCGCCACATCAATGCCATGTAGAGGTAATCGCTTGAGGTAATCGCTATTTAAAATGCTCTCCTGAAAACTTTCTATCTCTTGGTCCGTAACAGATTGATTGAATTTACTTCATATAGTTTTGAAAATTTGGTAACTTGCTCTGTATATTTGGTTTTTTTCGTTACATCGCTTTGCTTATGTATCGCAGTTTATAAGCGCTTTAATTTAACACATGTTAGACGACATCGCAGGTTTTGGCATTTTGACTCGTGGGACATGGAACGACTTTTGCGACCCGCGCCGTCCATCACCCTAAGAATTTCATAGGACTATTTCGGCAAGGATGAACGTATAAAGGTTAACTGTATAAGTAGCAGTAGGTTTTTGTTTAGAAGAGTGCATAATGACCACGAAGAAGTAAAAAACACGCTTTCGCTGCGAATGAAATTAAAAGCATTTGTATCTAAGTATTTCCATCAAATGCAAATATATTGAAACTCACAGAGTTTTGTATTAACTAATTCTACAATCTTTCATATAAATGTTAACGACAGTGAAAGGAATACTAGGAAAGAATTGAAATGAAAGTTTTGTGCGTTCGGAAAATTTTTGCTAAATCATAGGATACTTGACCACTCTGGCTGCCAGGCGGTTTATAGTTATGCTAATGTATTATCTATAGAATGAATACAAGAAACCCGAGAAGAAGGAGCGCAAGCACGATAAAAGTGAGTAGCATAGACTTGACGCGCTTGCGCGTCAGAATGTCCGATGCGGTGCGAAATTCTTGACGCGCATGCGCGTCAGCTTGTCGTCAACGTGTTAATGAAGTTTACGGTTGGAATGATCGATACTGAGTCTGTGAGGAAAGGTCAGCAGGCAAGCCAGCGCATTTAACAAGGTTTTCCCACAGGCAGGTTAGTGTAGGTGCGAGGTGGTATCCCCATAATTGCACTTTAGACTAAAGGTGCACACCCGGTTGCATATGTCATGTGATACCTGCACTTGATCCTCAAGAAGGTGGGAGCATGATAAACCCATACGGTACAAGCCTTCTGATAGGGACAGGCGTTCGGAGGAACTTTTGCGTTTTTGAAGTTAAGACTTTCTAATTTTGCGTGGCTCCCAAAAGTGAGGTTGATCTCCATTCTGAGTGCGATTTCATCTAATAACGGAGGAGGAGTTCGATGGCCCAGGCGGTGATCTTCAATTGGCTAAAGTCCGCGAGCGCGATGCAATTCGCGACGTCACGCTGTCGCAATCCTTATGTCCTGACCCACATCCTCCAGCATTATTTGAAAAAATTGAATGTCTTGGAAGTTGCACAGAAAAACTAGCTGAACATATTCGAAAGCCGTTTTAGACCAAAATAATATATCGAACAGTCGAACTAAAACGAACCTCCACGTGCCGCGCTGAAAATGGCGGAAGGTGCGCGTACTGTTCGAATAACTATCGCGATCTTCTGATTCGGATATTTCTCTCGCACGGCCGGCAAGATATCACCGAAGCAAATGCCGAGATCGGCAAGGCCACCAGCATCCTGGCGTTTGCCACGGCCTCTCATCATAATCTCGACAGCCGTCTCACGCCTGTTTCGCCACGTCTTCAACGTTTTCTTCGACACCTTTCGACGACGTCGTCGATCAGCATCCTCTTCGTCAAGCTAAACGACAACGGTAACCATTTTCATGTTCGTGACAGTCTACCCACCTCCACCTCTGTGGCTTCCAGTCCATCCTCGTCTTCGTCTTCATTACATGTCGTTTTCAAGAGCTCGCCGATCTTAGGCGTGTTCGGACCAATGTGGAACGTCAAGAATTGTTTCCTGCAATGGTACTGCGTTTTTTTATAAGAGCTTTTCCCTATAAAGCAGGCTTTTCGTTAACAAGCATGGCATTCTCACTTAAAGGAGGAATTCACAATAGAATGAAGGTCGAAGAAGGGAGTAATTCACCTAGTTGAGGGACCCGCGGACCTCCTAAGGGTGCGGACTGAAGCGCAATTGGCACCGAAGGAGTTGACCTCGGCGACCTATTAAGGCTCAATCTTGGCGCGGTGGGCCAGTGCACGCCCACCGATCATCTGATCACTCGCCGCAGGGATACGTGGCGAGTGATTAGATAGGTGAGAGAGCGTAGTGTTGAAGAGGGCACAGCGATGATAGTCGCATCAATGCTCAAATCAACGGGCAAGGAAGGGGTACCATTTCTCGGGTTCTGGGCCGTTTCTCATGGTTTTCCTTCTTTAGTGTACCACTCACCATCCGCTAAGTTAATTTGAAATGGTTGCCTTTCCAGCGTGAATTCGGTCCCCTAAACCTGAAGCGCATCAACGACCGTTGAATTCCGCGTTGAGGACGTTGAGAATTAGGGTGGGGGGGGTTGGCGTTTTGGTGTGTCAGAAAGCACAACGCGACGTCGACGCAATCCTAATTTCCGACGCCTCACTCAGATATGCGTGCTCTGTCTATACTATACACGATCGTACCTCGCCTGTATGTTATTTTGAGAGAATACATGAAGGGCATTTGATACGAGCCATACGTGCCCATTAGAGGCAAAACCCTTAACATTTGAGCAACGACAAGCTTGACCCTCGGCTGCACTGGCGTGCGTAGATTCGACGGTACCGACAGGGAGGGTCTGACGCGCGGTAAGAAAGGCAAAGTCAGCGGACGAGTCGCGCGCGTACTGTAGTGATTTCGCGTCAAGGTTAAATAGAATGTCCCATTGCACGTCCTACATCGCACAGCACGCGCTGCAACTCATCCACTGGCTCTGCTTTTTTGCCGCGCGACGGGCCTCCTGTTGGATACCAGCAGAGTCGCGACGTGTGCGCATTGAGTAGTTGTGTGCAATTGTGGTCAAAGTGGTCAAAAAATAACCATTGGTATTTGGCCAAGGAACGATCTTGCGCACTGGCAACCGACCCTGAGTACGCGTTGCGACCGCGCCCTCTTGAACGTTTCTGGGACCTGCTTCTTCTCAAAGGTGAATAGAATGTCCTCGATAGAGCGCTTAAGTTGACTGCCCTTATGTGGCTCCTTTTTCTAGCATAAAGACTTTCTATCTCTGTCTTCAGTTCGCGAGGACTTAATTAGGTGCCAAGATACGGTATTCCTAAGGATCTGCATTGCACCAAAAACGACGAGCGGTCACTACACAGCAAGGCACTGCGTCGTAGGGCCACGCGTCACAGTATTAGCGATTCTGTGAAACCGACAGGTCGCCCGGCAGCAACGAATCGCGGGCTATAAAATCTGCTTTAAGCCCTGTTCTGAAGGAAGCGCGAACGGCAAAAACGCGTTGTGACCGCACGCGTCCCATACTGGTAAAATAAAATGTAATCTTTAGCCATCCAATTCTGAAATCGAATACATTTCTCAAACATAATGTGAATACTAACCTGTGCAACCAGTAGAACAAACTGTTCACTGTGTAGTCAGTTACGATGAATTCAGCCATATGAGAATCGAAAGCGTAAGGGAATTGTACGGGGAATGCACCAAACGGCGTGCCTGAAACCAAAGTAAAGTTTTTGGGTGCAAATATGGGGTTGGCTTGGGACATTTCTGACAACTGTGCGTGGAAGTCGATTCGTGTCAGCTTGTTTTTAGTTTGTCAACATGTGCATACCACCCATGCAAAATGTGCACGATTTTATCTCCCACAGTGAGCGCAGCCTACGCTCCATGAGTCGACACCTGAATGGGATGGACTGTAGCAGAATGAAGCCCCGATGGAAACAGCATGCATGGACTGACCATGACCGAGAAGCACCACAAATAACCCCGCCTGACCAGGGTCAACCCTTAC